CGGGAAGCTTGGCTTCTTCCATTGCCGGGGCAACCAAGACTTCTGCTTGCTCCATCTCTGTGGCTGCTGGCTACCATCTTGATTTGGTTAATTTGCATATAGTCACTCTGATTGGCCGGTGGGCGTGGCTTTGGGGGCATAGCGAAGGTACAGTCAATTTGCATGTTTCTCTTTTATTAGATTAGATATAGATTATTGTAGTATTTTCCATATGAACAACTGTAAACCTACTTTTGCCCCAAGGTGTACATTACGTACCTACCTACATAATTGTAACTGATGTTTCACCTCTGCAGAGCACAAAGAAGGTGGGGCTAAAAAAGTGGAATTTTTAAAGTCTAAGAGGAATTATTTTCTAAAGAATTAGACCTTAGAAGTAGTTACCAACAGATTGTAAAAGATTATATGAGATCTTTTAAAAATAGGACAAATTCTCAATGTCAAAATTTACCATGATGATTAAATGACTACCAGCTCCTTGAAGCCCTATGGAGTGAAACTCATCTTGGGCGAGCAGAATGACAATGCAGCATCAGCATTATGACTCTGACATCCATCAGTAGGTTACCTGGGCAGAGTTAATACCAGACTGGACACAGAGGAGGTACTCTTTCATATACCAAAAGTAGAAATTATTTATTTAATAAATACCCCAGGGAAAAAAAAAACAAACTCTTAACACATGGCCACCTTTGATAAGCCAATTCTTTCTTCTCACATCAGTGGAGGAAGTCCTAAGCAGTTTTCCAATTTTAGAGTAAGATCAGTGATTTCATGCTTTGCACAAACTGATGTGTTAAATTTGCATTTTTGATGCTTAACAGTGTCTACTTAATTCTAGCCTGACATGTTTACCACATTATGGGTAAAGCCGAGATTTCCAAATTGAAAAATGAGTGACCATCAAGTCGCATTCTGCCTCCCCACGTAAGTAACCTGCCAGGCCTCTGATTTAAGGATAAAGACTCCATGTAAGTGCTTTAAATATTAAATCACATTCTTTTATGAATACTCATAGAATTCAATCATTTAAACAATTATTACCAACTTCTATGTGTAGTACTGAATGCTTACTTCCAAACTCAACATGACACTTTTCACCTACTCCAGGATTTTAAGAATTGTTTATAAAAAGAGGATACTGAATAACTGCATGGGCATCAGAGTGAATTCCAATTCTAGCAACGTAAATGACAGAAGAGAGAACTGTACATGAACCCACAGGACCAAGTGTAATAGTGGCAGCGGGTGAAGAGGACGGTCACGCCAAGCTCATGGTTGGCTGCACAGTTACATGACTTATTTCTAGTCACCCAACTCCAAAAGCAAACACATAAAAATCACGTCATATTATTTTATCTGAAATAATGAATGTCTAATAACTGTATAAAATATTTACAATGATTGATTTCTTATATCAGGATAGCTTACCAAATCCAAAAGCGTTAGAACCTCCAATGCTCTGTGAAGCCTGAACACTTGTAGATGTGTAGAGTCCTGTCACCAACAACCCATCAAAAAAGGTGCTTGTTGAAATTGTCACTGAAATACAGGGTGGGGGAGAGAAAAGAAACCTCAATTAATACAGTCAGGATAATGAGATACATTTCTGAAGTGTTAGATATTGTCAAAAATTTTACTCATATTAATTTTTATCCTATTGGCACTTGGTATTTTTTTTACACATATTACTAATGACAGAAAAGCAAAAAGAAGCTCAGAACTCCAATGTCTATAATTGCTAGTCCTAAATTTAGAACATCGGTCCTATCTTTCTGCATTTCTGCATTCATTTGCACTTTCCCTAGCTATGTGCAAAATCCTCTGAAAACAATGGAGTACTGAATAGCTAGTTTCCCCACCTCCATCACCACCCCTGAAGGCAGTCAAAGGCATGGCTGGAGTTTTGGCAATGTGATGAAACACTTTATTTTTAAAGCATTCCATACTGTGGGAAACACCCTTACATAAGCTCAAAGAACAGTCAGTTACACTTATTGTGAGTCTACATTTTAGAGATGAGTCCCTGAAGTTTTTGACAAAAGCAGACTAAACTGCATGAAGACAGTCAGCCCTTCTCCTTATGAGAACAAGAGAGGAAGACTGCTGCATGCTGTAAGTGTGAGACCAACGTCTACAAGATGACTCCGATTGTTTCATAACCAGAAAATCAGGATGTTCCTGGGAAGAAACGGTTCAAATTAAATGTATCTGTATGCTACTCAGGTTTGGTTTTTTTAAATGTTAGATTGCTCTCCACCCTAAAAATTGATCATAATTTCCTCCTGGATATAATATTTTCTCCTGTACTGGTTTTATAAGGTCAGGAAGATGCTATTTGTAGGAAGAAGCTGGGAGAAGGTAATATTATTTTGGTGGCGCACAGTTCAAGGCCGTCATCATGCTTGGTGGCTGCGAGGAGAAGAGTCACATTAACTTTGATGAAAATGTTTAAATTAAACTCCAAAAAAATCTAGTGAGTAGGGTTGGATGGTCTGAAAGAGCCATATTAGAAAGCATAAAACAAGACACATTAGAACAGCGGGACATCATGCTATCTCCAAAATGGCACTGGATGTTGGAGTAAATCACCTTCACATCCTTTAATCACTAAAATTCTGAGTTCTGGCATGTAGACTACAGTAAACCACTCCGCTGGTCCTGAGCTTAGTAGTCAACATCTATTATCTCATCTCATTATTGAAGTGCCTCTGTAAAGGGCACTTCAATACTATTGTTATTCCCAGGAAACAAATGAGGAATCTGTGGCATAAAACAATTAAGAAACTTCCAGACCATCTAAAAAATTTTTATGCTGTTAAACCTGGCTTCTCTTCCATGTTCTCTCTGCTCTCCGCCACCCCCCCCCCGCCCCCTCAGATCTCCCAGTGGCAAAGTGGCTGTGGCCAAACCCTTGTTTAATAATAACCCCTTTCTCAGATTACTTACATACATGAGGAGTACTTGAAGAAAACGAAAATGAAAGTTGCAGGAGTCAATGTCACTGTTATTGGAGAGAAAGAGGACCACAGGTAGCAGGAAGCGACCCCATGCCCCAGTGGATAAAAAACCCCAGGCTGGGTAAGAGGTGAACCTGCACACACTGGGCTCTCACCCGCTGCTCCCTAGCCTTGAGCAAAACCACTTAACCCAGTGGTTCTCAACCTCCCTAATGCCATGACCCTTTATTACAGTTCGTCATGGTGTGGTGACCCGCAACCATAAAATTATTTTCGTGGCTACTTCATAACTGCAATTTTGCTACTGTTATGAATTGTCATGTAAATATCTGATATGCAGGATGTATTTTCATTGTTACAAATTGAACATAATTAAAGCATAGTGATTAATCACAAAAACACTATGTAATTATATATGTGTTTTCCAATGGTCTTAGGCAACCCCTGTGAAAGGGTCGTTTGACCCCCCAAGGGATCGCGACCCACAGGTTGAGAACCGATGACTTAATCCCCATCTACAGCATCACACCCTAATCCTCAGCACCCCGATTTGTTTACCCCAGATTACTACAATTGGTTCTACTGATGCCTCCATCCTTTGATTCGTGAGTTCACCTAGACTTGGGTAGAAAGGGCTTACACTGCCTCTGTGTCCCAATCTAAGGGGGTTAGAATTAAGTGACTTCCTGTTAAATTGACTATATTGACCTCTGAACTTTAATGCCATAACACAGGTCATCCTTCACAGCAAATAGATCAATCCTGCAGTTTCTTTCAGGGACCCACGGGACCCTGTTTATACCCTCTGCCTCTCAACCCAGTCCACTATCTAGTCCACTGAGATGGCAGCGGCCTATACTAACACGCAAACACAGCCCTGTGGACTCCTCTCCATTTTTTTATGCTTCCTAGCTCCAAAATTCTGAAAAGTGTAAAGGTTTTATAGGTTTGGGAGTGAGGCAAACCTTCACTTGAGTCTCACCTCCTCTACCTCTGATTAGTGTGTGACCTGGGGGCATGTCTCAGATTCCTCATTTACAAAAAAGGAATTCTAATACTTTCAGGTTTATGGTAAGAATTAAAAGAAATATACCTATCATCTCTCTATCAACATATTTAATCTCACACACTATCATGAATATAGTAACTAATCGATAAAAGTTCCCTTGCCCTGCCCTCTCACCGACCGTGAAGCCCTGCCTTTCTCTTCTCTGCCTGAGAACAGGAATGCTTTACTGGGCTACTGGCATCTGCCTCGCCGATGCCTGCACACATCCAATCAGTGGGCTGCCCACCTCTGAGGCCTGCTGCCTGCTAGGATTCTCCATCCACCCTCCCACCTACCGCTTCATTTCTGACCACAGTCCACTCCAAGTCTGAGCTGTGACCTCAGCAGGCCCAAGACATGTGGCATCCTCCAGCTTGTTATTAATTCACCCGCCCGTCTTCTCAGTGTCAATTTAAAACAGAGGCTGAGGCTGAAGGATCCTGGAGAAAGGGCTGAGGAAGAGCAGCCGCATGTGGCAACTCTTGGTCTTCCTGAGAGTGAATTAGTTCTGATCAAAACAAAACCCCTGCCATGTCTAACCATGACAACTGATACATTCAATTTATTAATAGCTTGTACTATCAGGTGATGTTTCACCAGGAAGAGATGTGCACCTAGGAAGCTGCCTGCCTGGCTTGTAACTCATGTAGGTTCAGAGCATAACCAAGTCTGCTGTGCCCCTTAGATGCCCATTTAGGTTAACCCCTTGCCTAAGCTCCCACCCCCATCCCCAACATCTGCCACCCAGTGTACCTCCAGACCCAGAGGATGAAGCAAATTCTGATCTCCACACCCCCCAAAGCCTGCTTCAAGTCGGTGCTCCTCTTTACATAGATCCGTGGGTGTTGAAGCAGCAAGATCTAGTGAAAACATCTCAGGAATAAGAAGACTGGATTTTATTCCCAATATTATCAATTTATCATGTCAGATTTGGCAAGGTATTTGTGTGATTTTTTTTCTCACTCTGTTTGGTCCTATTCCTAGCAGTGATATTATTTTGTAACCTCTTGGCTAAGTGAGCTTAAATATGTGAGAAATAATTTCTAAACATTGACTGTCTTAGAAAAATGTAATGACTAAGAAAAACACTTTATTAATCTTAGAGTCTCTTTGCTTTACTAGTAAATACTATCCGTATGTTGATTACTCCCAAATTTCATTCCCCAGTCCAGCTCTCTCTCTCTTGATATACCCCAGACATATAACAAGCTGCTCCTAACATCTCCACTGGGATGCTCAAGGAGGCATCTCAACCTCAACATTACCCAAACTGAACACCCACCCCATGGCTCACACCTGCTTCTGCTGTGGCCTTCCCCAACTCCACTGATAGAGGCACTACTTTCCCACTGCTCAGGCTAAAAACCAGAGTAAACTCTGGAATCACCTCATCCATACCCTGAATCCAGACCATCAGTAAATCCTATTGGCTCTGCCTTTAGATCATATCCAGAATCTCACCACTCACATCCTGTTCTGAGCTACCAAGGTCTCTCTCCCATTAGACATCGATCTTGTCTTCCCGGTTCTACCCTCTGCTCTGCACTCTATTCTCAGTATAAGAGTCAGAGGAATTATTTTAAAACACATGTCAGTCCATGTCCCTCCGCTGCTTACAACTTTCTAATGCCCCAAGTCAGTCTTTACTGTGGCCTATAAGGTTCTATGTGATCAGCCTCCATTCCTTCCCTGTTCTCATCTCCTGCTCTCCTCCTGGCTCACTCCACTCCAGCCACACTAGCCTCTGTGGTGTTGCTCAGATATGCCAAGTCCTTACACCAGTCCTTTTCTCCAGATACCTGAAGGGCCAATTCCCTCACCTCTATGGAGTCTTAGTTCAAACCTGCCTTAACCACACTATTTAGAATTGCAAATGACCCCGTCTCCCTGCCCCCACAATCCTCACATTCCTGATGTTCCTATTTGGTTCTACTTCCCCCCATTTTTTTTCTATAAGTAGTTATTATCTTGAACACATTATACTGATTTACTTGCAGTGGTTTTCGTTTCTCTGTTTTTTGTCAGTCTCATTCTGCAGAATGTAAACTCCATCCGGCAGGTATCTTAAGTGTCTAGAGCAATTCCTGACAATTTTGGGTGTTCAATAAATATGTATTAAAATACTTATTAAGGAATGACTCATTCATATAAAAATGGTACAAGATTGTCTTATTTACAACTAGTTTCCAGAGGAAAAGCATGCTGTGAATCCTAGACTTTGTATGTCAGATGGATCCCATTGGAAAAGCCACATGGAAAGAAGACAGAGGAAAGGTGGCTATTTATATATTTAAAATGTTTTCCAGAGTGCAAGACAAATCAATGCAGAGGCCAAGAGATAGGCAAAGACATCTGTAAAAACGGCAGACCAACTTAAGTATACATTCACTCTCACATGCTGTATCTTACACAGACGATCCAAAGAAAAGGTTCCGTTAGAACTAATTAATTATAATCTATTTTCCTACTCTACTCGCTTGAATTGAGAAGTCAAAGTATTTTTTTAAGGGGGAAAATTACATTTGCTTTTGGAA